TCTCTCTCTCTCTGTGTCTCTTTCTCTTTCTCCTCTTTGTCTCTCTGTCTCTCTGTCTCTCTCCCCCTCCACTCCCCTCCTTTCTTTTGACAACCTTAAAAACCATGGGACTTTTCCATCTATCTTCCTTCCCTGTGTGTCATCTCCCCCATTAGAATGTGAGCTCGTTGAGAGCAGGGGCTGGGATGACTTTGCCGTTTGTGCGCCCAGCACTTGGCACAGCGCCTGGCACACTGTAAGCGCTTAATAAACACTTGGTTCATTCATTCTCTTCCCTGTTTCTCCCTGCCCCTCTCTCCTGCTGTTCCCCCCGGGCCGCATGACAGCGAGTCCAGGAGAAGCACGGTCCACGCCGTCCCCACCGCCCAGCCCAGGGGAGCCCGAGAAGAGCTCCCAGGAGCCCCTGAGCCTGACCCTGGAGAGCAGCAAGGAAAATCAGCAGCCCGAAGGCCGCTCCGGCTCCTCGCTGAGTGGGAAGACGCACGCCAACGGCCAGGCTGCCGGAGGGATCCAGGAGATCGTGGCCATGTCCCCAGAGCTGGACACCTACTCCATCACCAAGAAGGTCAAGGAGGTGCTGACGGACAATAACCTAGGTACGGGGAGAGCAGAGGACAGCTCGAGCTTAACTCAAGGGCCCCGGAGCTCCACCCACACCCTCTCCTGTTCTCCGGGACGCAGCCCCTAGGGTACCAGGCCCTCGCATCACAGACTCAGAGTTGCAAAGGCCTGAGAGCGCATACCCTTTCATTTTACAGATAAGGAAACTGGGGGCCAGAGGCCTTGAGTGACATGTAGAATTGTGTGTACGTGTGTATGTGTGTACCAATATGGATGTGTGTACCTGTGTCTATGCGGATTATGCGTGTGATGAGTGTACTGTTGTACTGAATGTATTACATGTAAAGGTGTGCCAGTATGTGTGATACTGTGTATATGTATGTGTGTGCCTGTCTGTGTGTATGTTGTGTATGTATTATGTGTGTGTAAAGGTGTGCCTATATGTGTGATACTGTGTGTATTGTCTATGTGTGTATGTATGTGTGTGCCTGTCTGTATGTATACTGTGTATGTATTATGTGTGTGCCTATATATATTGTATTATGTATGTGTATATGCGTGTATGCTTTTATGTATACATATCGTGTATATTATTATGTGCCTATCTGTGTGTGTATTATGTGTGTGCCTGCATATATGTATATTATGTGTTTACTGCATATGTATATATGTATTGTGTATTGCATGTGTATTTGTGTATATGTTTGTGTGGCTGTATGTGTGCATTTTGTATGTGTGTATGTACTGTGGGCCTGTGTATATGTATTTTATGTGTGTGTTGTGTATTGTGTGTGCATTGTGTGCCTTTTTATATATTACGTATCTATGCTGTGTGTATATGTATATATGTGCTTGCATGTATGTGTATTGTGTGTTTAGGTATTGCATTGTGTGAATATATGCCTTGCATGTTGCATGTGTGTATGTATGTGAACTGTGTGTATATGTATGTATGCATTATGTGATGAGCCTCTTGCTGCGCATGTATACATGTGTTCACTTGTATGTGTGAATCGTGCATGTGTATACGTGTGTGTTTGCCTGCATATATTATATGTGTGTCTATATGTGCATGCCTATATATATAGCATATGTGCATTTTGTGTATTGTGCATGTGTGTATATATGTACCTGTGTGTGTATCGTGTGTAACTGTATACGTTTATTATGTGTGCCTGTATATGTGTGTTGTGTACTGTGTGTATGTGCGTGCTTGCATGTATGTGTGTTACGTGTGTGTGTTATGTATTTAGGGCAGCTAGGTGGCACAGTGGATAGAACACTGGGCTTGGAATCATGAAGACCTAAGTTCAAATCTGGCCTCAGACACTGGCTGTGTGACCCTGGGTAAGTCACTTCACCCTGTTTGCCTCAGTTTCCTCATCTGTCCAATGAGCTGGAGAACGAATTAGCAAACTACTCCAGTATCTTTGCCAAGAAAACCCTAAATGGAGTCATGGAGAGTCAGACACGACTGGAAAATGACTAAACAATTTTGTATTTATATATTGTGTGCCTATATTTATGTGTATTATGTGTGTGTATATTGTGTACGTGCCTGTATGTATGTGTATTGTATGTGATGTAGTGTGTATGTGTGTGTTGTGTGTATATGTAGGTGTTGTGTGTGTAGTGTGAGTGTATGGACTGTAGGTGTGTGTATGTATGTGGGTGTTCCCAGCACATGGCCCAGTGCCTGGCACACAGTAGGCACTTTGTGCTTTTCACCTTCACGTATAGGATCATGGCTCTGTAGTCAAAAGGAACCTTAGACGCCATATGTCCAACCCTCGACGACGAGGGAACCGAGGCCCAAAGAGGTGACTGGCCCAAGGTCACACAGAGCACAAATGGCAGAAGCAGGATTCAAGCCCAGTCCCTCTGCCTCCCAACCCAGCGCTCCTTGCCTTGCGCCATGCTGCCTGGCCCAGCTCAGCCCAGACCAGTACTGGGGCATTGAGAAGGCATCCAGACCTTGATGGACTTGGAGTCTGGAGAGCAGGGGCACCCGGCACATTTAATAAATGCCCAGCTCTGACCCTCATCAGCTGAAAGGCAGAAGCTGCAAAGAGCAGAGGAGAGAAAAGCAGCTCTGTAACTGTGAGATCCCTGGGCTCTGATCCTGACTCCATCAGACTGTGTGATCCTAGACCAGTCACCTGCACTGCCTGCCCCGCAGGAGAGTGGGGCTTAAAAGGGGCGGGGGGGGGTGCTTTGCAAATCTTCGTGAGTTAAAGATGTCAATCTTTCATTCATTTGTTCATTTATTTATTTGCTTATTTGTAAAAGATTTACAGAAAGTCATCATTACATTAATACTCATTGGCCTCCCCCTGCCCAGGAGAGTGGTCACTGGGGATGAGCTTATTTTGGGCTTATATTGGACCAGACCTGCCCTTATTAGCTCTGGTGAGGAAGGGGGGAGCCAGAAGGGGCACCCTGAAATATACCCATCCCCTGGCCAGGGGATTTCCAGGTCCCCTCTGGAACCCTGATGGGGTCCTCCCTTCTCACCCCTAGGTCAGCGGCTCTTTGGGGAGAGCATCCTGGGCTTGACACAGGGCTCAGTGTCGGACCTCCTGTCCCGCCCCAAGCCATGGCACAAGCTTAGCCTGAAGGGGAGGGAGCCCTTCGTGCGGATGCAGCTCTGGCTGAATGACCCCCACAATGTGGAAAAGCTCCGGGACATGAAGAAGATGGAAAAGAAAGGTGAGACTCAGGTAGCTAAACAGGAAGGAAGGATCCTGGAGCTGACGTTATCTCCTCTGGGCTTCACTTCTCCCCTGAGAATCAAATCATGTCACCAGGCCTAGGTTCAGACAATAATCATAACTGACATCAATAATAAGAACATAGAACTAGGCTGTATTATTCTCTGTTTCACAAACACTCTCCTTACTACCCAGAGCAAGACCTGAGTTCAAATCGCTGCTCTGCCACTTGCTTCCTATGTGACCCTGGGCAAAATCATTTCGGGTCTCCAGGCCTCAGCTTCTCTCTCTCTGCAAAATGAAGGGATTTGGAATAGATGACCACTCTGTTCCTTTCCAACTCTGTATCTATGACTGAAAGAACCTGGCAGGGCATGCGAGGGGGAGTGGCAAAGGTGAAAGTGGAATGTACCAGTCTTGGGATTCCATTGGTGTAGGGAGCTCCCAGGCAATAAACTCCCTCTCCCGATGCAGATTGGTATTTGCTGTAGGTACAATTTACAGTCTGGAGAGGTTCCTGAAGGCACCAAGGAGCTAAGTGATGTGCCCAGGAACACACCTCCAGCATGAGTCAGAGATGAGACTTGAACCTGCCTTCCTGACTCCGAGGACAATCTGATGTTCATTATGCTAAGCTGCTTCTCAGCATTATCATCATCATCATCATCATCATCATCATCATCATTATTATTCTTTCCATATCTGTGATAGGAGCAATGGGGCCACTCCCTGCACTCCATACACCAACGCAGCTCACAACTCATCCAGACCTTCCCATCCAATATGGTGCTTGTCCCCAACCTCCTACCAATCGTCCCATTTGACACATTGGAGGTCATACCCCAGGCCAGAGTTTCTTCCCCTCCTTTATGTCGTGAACCCCTCTGGCAGTCCATTGAAGCCCACAGGCCCCTTCTCAGAAGAATAGCTTATTACCTTCATTTTTAATGGATGGAGATGCTAAGTAAGATGGAAATTCAGTAAGAGGTAAGTGAAAATAAAGACATAATTTTGTTCCCCATCCAAGTTCACAGACATCCTGAAATCGAGGGTACTCCAGGTTAAGAGACCCTGATCTAGGCCTTTTCACATTCAAAGGATTCCAGGGTAGAAGGAAGGTCTATTCCACATCAGCCGTATCTCACTTACACTTCCTGACACTTCCCTTTCCAGGTGTTTATCCTCCTGATGATACCTTTGGAAAAGCACAGTGGTGCAGTGAATAGAGAGCCAGTCTTGGGGCACAGAAAGACCTGCTTTCTAATCTTGCCTCTGACCCATCCTGTGGGCAAGTCACAGAACTGGCTTAGTGGCCCAGACAACTCTCTAAGGGGATAAGGTGAAGGGCAGCTACTGATCTACATTGGTAGAGGGAGTTTGCTCACAGGGAGATCTCTATGCAGATAAAATCACATCTTGTCTGAGAGAGACAGAGACAGAGAATGAGAGATGGATGGATGGATGGATGGATAGATGATTGAATAGAGAAATGGAGAGATAGATACATTGATTGATGATGGATAGATAGAAAGGTAGGTAGATAATTGGATAGAGAACAGATACATTGATGATGGATAAGTAGAAAGATAGGTAGATAATTGGATAGAGAGATAGATATATTAATGATGGATAGATAGAAAGATAGGTAGATGATTGAATACAAAGGGATGGATAGATAACTATAGATACGTTGATGATGGATAGGTAGTTAGGCAGATGGATAGTTAGATAGATACATAGATGGATAATTGTGTAGAGAGATACAGATAGATACACTATCTGATGATAGAAAGAAAGAAAGATAACATGATTGGATAGAGATAGATACATTGATAGTGGATAGACAGATGATAGACGATTGGATCAACACTATTTTGATTGATGGTGGATAGATAGGTAGATGATTGGATGGAGAGGGATGAATGGATAGCTGTAGATACATTGATGTTGGATACGTATATAGGCAGATGGATAGACAGATAAATAGATAACTGGATAGAAAGAGATGGATAGATGCACTGACTGATGATGGATAGACAGATAATAGATGATTGGATAGAAAGACAGATACATTGATTGATGGTGGACAGATAGATGATAGGTGATTGGTTAGAGAGATAGATGCATTGATGATGGATAAATAGAAAGATATGTAGATGATGGGATAGAGACGGATGGATTGATGATGGATGGATAGCTAGACAGATAGGCAGATAGATAGATAGATAGACAGAGATCTGCTGCCATCTCCTTATGCCCAGCACTCCATTGTCCTTTAGGAGACTCAAAATTTCTTCAGAGACTGCAGTACCCCATGACTCACAGCCTGCCTATGAAAATGTTATTTTAAAAAAGATGGATGGCTTTTGTTTCAGGGAGTAGTTTGAGGTCATTAAGGGCACTGCCCATTTTCCCAAGTGAAATCCACCCTCTCTCCTTCTTCTGTTGAGGAGAAGTTCTGATTCAGCTCCAGAAACAGTATCCACAGTAATTATCTCATCTAACAGAGGCAGAGTGAGAGAGTGGACAGAAAGCTGGCCTCTGAATCTAGAAGACCAGAGTTCAGGCCTTGCCTCTGACCTGCCCTGGCTGTGTGGCCAGGACCAGTCACTTAACGTTTCTGGGCCCTAGGCAGCTCCTTCAGCCTGTAAATTACAGTGCAGATCGCCATGCTAGGGGGAAATTCTTCATTGGCAGCTCCCTCCATCAGTGACATCACAGGTCCAGTCCCCAAAACCAATCAAGCCTTTATTAAGTGCCTGCTAAATGCTAGGCGCAGGTGATACACAGACAAAAAAAAAAAGTCTTTGCCCTCAGCTTACATTCTAAAGGGGGAGGAGGGGAGAAGAAACCATCTTATAATTTTTGTTCTTAACGTTCCTGAGTCCCTGGAGGTAGAATTAGTTCCAGAGGATCAGGATGGGTATGTGATGGACATGCTTGGCCTGGGCTTTTCTCCCTCAGCCTACCTGAAACGTCGCTACGGGCTCATCAGCACGGGCTCAGACAGTGAATCACCCGTCACACGCTCCGAGTGCCCCAGCCCCGGGCTTCAGCCCCAGGACCTGAGCCTCCTGCAGATTAAGAAACCCAGGGTGGTCCTGGCCCCAGAGGAGAAGGAAGCCCTGAAGAAGGCCTACCAGCTGGAGCCCTACCCATCCCAGCAGACCATCGAGCTGCTTTCTTTCCAGCTCAACCTCAAAACCAACACTGTCATCAACTGGTTCCACAATTATAGGTGATTTGGGGATCCCAGCACTGAAGGGGTGGAGCAGCTAGAGAGATAGGGGTCCGGCGAAGGACAACAGCTATGGGTGGTGAGAATAAAGGTGGCTGAGATCAGAGGAGAGAGGAATGGATGGGCTGAAAACAGTAGGAGTGACTAAGATCGGGAAGATTGAGAGATGGATGGCATAAGAGGGGACCCCAAGGATAAATGTTATAGTCAGAGTGAAGGCATCTGGGGTGATGGCAGGGGCAAGGGAGGGAAAAGATGGGCAGGGGTGAGTGAGGGTGACTGGGAATAAATAGTACCTGAGGTCTGATTTTTCCAGGCCCAGCCCTCTATCCACTGTTCCTCTATCCTAGGTGCCTAAAAAAGTTTATTTAGCACCTACAGTCAACCAGGTACTGCGCTAAGTGTTTTACAAATCTTATCTCCTTTGATCTTCGAAGGAGTCCTGGTAGGGTTACTTATGGAAAGAGTGAGGACAGCTTGTTCAGAAAGAGAGAGGGCAGAGGGAGTGGGGGTGTCTGGGCCAGGGGAAAGTGTGGGTAACTGAGGTCAGGAGATGGAAGAAGGACAGCTATTTGAATCCTTCCTGGGAGGGAAGGATAAATGGGTAATTTAAGCCAAGCAGATGGAGGGAGGGATAGGATGGGGAAGGTGAGGTCAGTGAGGTCAATGGGATGGAGAAAATAGGTCAGGGGCTGGAGAGATGGATCTGATGAGGAGAGTGTGGGCAGAGGGAGAATGTCTGGATGGATAAATAGGAGTGGTGGGGGTCAGGAGGATGGAGGGAGTGGGCGAGTTGTGTTTAGGACATGAGAAAGGAGTGGGGTAGAAAGTGTTGGTAAGACTGGGGCGGGGTGGATGGATAATATGGAGAAAACAGGGAGCGTCTGATCAGGAGGATGGAAGGAGTTGGAGTGGCCATGGGCAGGTATGAGGGATGGATGAGCTAGAGGAAGCTGGTGATCTAGGTTGGGGGACAGAGTGAAGCATTGAATGGGAGCAGCTAGGTGAAGGGGTGCAAGGAGCAGGGGGCAAGTGGGGTCATTGGATAGAAGAGTGGATAGAGTAGAGGGAGTCAAGTGGGGGGTTAGGACTAGATTCCTTTTCTTCTGTTACCAAACCCAGTGCTTTGGGGTTTGTTGGGGGGTTTTTGGCTAATTTCTAAATAAATTTGCTAATTTCTCCCATAAGCAATAATAAGGGTGAGGATGAGGAGCCATGAAGGCAGCACAGGCTCTCTAGTTGAGAAACCAAATCCATCCAAGTGAGATCACTTTTCGGTTCCTAGTTTGATGGCCCAGTGGTTAGTACTTGGATCTTCTCAGGTAATGAAGAGGCTTGGATTATTTAATATTATTATATTCCCCACCTTATTCCTCTATATGGGGGCCTTGGGCAACCGATACACCGCCCGAGTCATTTTGGAAGCTTTTCACCCAAGCCACCCTCTCTCCCCATCCCAAGGGATCCTTCTGACTCAGAGGACAAAGACAGCATTAAGGAAAGGGCCCCAAAGGCTAAAAGGGAAGCTTCTGGGTCAGTCCCACTATTACAGCCTCTTCTTAATTATCTGCCCCAGCAGTGGTGGGAAGAATCCAAATCCTGAGCCGGCAGGAAGCGTAGAGACCCCCCAGTCTAGCCCTCTCATTAGGAGGGCCCTGAGTGACCTGCCTCGGGTCACACACGTCCTAGTAAGTGCCCCCGGCAGGATTTAGGCCCAGGTCCAGCCCTCTCTCCGCCCCCTCGTCTATGTTCTTTGGTTTTTCTTTTCCCTAAGTGGAACAGGCTGTCCTTCTTAGTGACATGAAAAGACCTTGCAGACCCTGACCAAATCCCAACTGGATGGGTGGGGAGGGAACAGGCCCCAAGTGAAAACTTGGCTACATGTCCCCATTCCCCTGGGGAGCTAAGCAGAAGTGGACAAAGGACAGGCCCGGCTCACGGCCTTCTGCTCTGGGCTGCTGGTTTCAATCAGTCAGTCCATCTGGGGCCAGTTTGTAAAGACGTTTTGGGGCAATGCAGAAAGCGCTGAACTGGAAGTCAGGAGACTGGGGTCCAGCCCAGCATCTGCCATTCATTCACAGTGACCCTAGTCAAGTCCCCTCATCTCTGCACCTGAGTTTCCTGTCCTGTAAAATGAGAAGGTTGAGACCATTCCCTGCTCTAACATACTATATTCCAAGCCACAGGGGTGAGGAACCTATGTCCTTGAGGCCACATGATCTGTGAAGTTTGGATTCAGTCAAAGGGCCGCACCTGAGAACCCAGAGGGCCACACGTGGCCTCAAGGCCACTTACCCCGTAAGGTCTGTCCCTGAGCTGATATTTTTTGTTCTAAGACCACTCCAGCTTTGACATTCCCTGTTCTAAGGCCACTCAAGCTCTGACATTCCTTATTCTTTTTTTTAAACATTTTTATTTAAAGTTTTGAGTTCCAAATTCTATCCTTCCCTCTTCCCTGAAACAGTAAGCAATAAGATATAGGTTATACATGCGCAATTATGTATAACATTTCTATATCAGTCATTTTGTACAAGAAGACGCAAATAGAAAAAAAATGAAAGAAAGTGAAAAATAGCATGCTTCAGTCTGTATTCAAACAATATCAGTTCTTTCTCTGGAGGTGGATAGTACGCTTCATCATTAGTCCTTTGGGATTGTCTTGGAACGTTGCATTGCTGAGCATAGCTAAGTCATTCACAGTTCTTCATCAGACAGTATTGCTGTTACTGAGTGCAACGCTCTGGTTCTGTTCACTTCACTATGTATCAGTTCATGTAAGTCTTTCCTGGTTTTTCTGAAATCATCCTGCTTGTCATTTCTTTGAGCACAATAATATTCCATTACAATCATATACCACAGCTTGTTTAGCCATTCCCCAATTCATGGGCATCCCTTTGATTTCCAGTGTTTTGCTACCACAGATAGAATTGCTATAAATATTTTTTTTTTTTACAAATAGGTCCTTTTCCCTTTTTTTTTTTTTTTGGATATCTTTGGGACATAGACCTGGACATGTATATTGCTGGATCAAAAGGTATGCACAATTTTATAGCCCTTTCTGCATAGTTCCAAATTGCTCTCCAGAATGGTCAGATCACAAATCTGGCCTCAGACACATAATACCTCCTAGCTGTATGACTCTGGGCAAGTCACTTAACCCCAATTGCCCCACTTTAAAAAAAAAAACAAACAAACAGAATGGTCGGATCAGTTCACAATTCCACCAACAGTGCATTAGTATCCCACTTTTCTCACATGCCCTCCAACATCCAACATTTTCCCTTTTTGTCATATTAGCCAATCTGATAGGTATAAAGTGGTACCTCAGAATTATTTTAATTTGCATTTCTCCAATCAATAGTGATTTAGAGCATTTTTTTCATATGACTATAGATAGCTTTGGTTTCTTTGTCTGAAAACTGCCTGTTCATATCCTTTGATCATTTATCAATTGGGGAATGACTTGTATTTTTATAAATTTGACTCAGTTCTCTCTGTATTTGAGAAATGAGGCCTTTATCAGAGATACCTGTTGCAAAATTTTTTCCTAGTTTTCCACTTTCCTTATAATTTTAGTTGTATTGGTTTTGTTTGTGCAAAAACTTTTAAATTTTATATAATCAAAATCATCTATTTTATATTATGTAATGCTCTCTATATCTTCTTTGGTCTTAAATTCTTCCGTTATCCATATATCAGACAGATAAACTATTCCATGCTCTCTTAATTTGTTTATGGTATCATCCTTTATGTGTAAATCATGTATCCATTTTGACCTTATCTTGGTGTACAGTGTGAGATGGTGGTGTATACCTAGTTTCTGCCATACTGTTTTCTAGTTTTCCCAGCAGTTTTTGTCAAATAATGAGTTTTTGTTCCAAAAGCTTGGATCTTTGGGTTTGTCATATACTAGATTACTATGGCCATGACATTCCCTATTCTAAGGCTCCTCCCAGCTCTAATATTCTCTATTCTAAGGCCCCCCTCCCAGCCCTGACATTCCCTCTTTTTAAGGCCCCTCCCAGGTCTGACATTCTCTCTTCTAAGGCCCCTCCCAGCTCTGACATTGCCTGTTCTAAGGTCCCTCCCAGCCCTGACATTCC